TTGGCCAGCGTGATGGACTATGGCCTGATCCCCTCGCATTGAAGGGAGGCCCGTGCTCAGCAGTGGGACTTTAAAAAGGGCTGAATATAATACAATAGTACTAACACATTTTCATTACCTTTAACTCAAAATTAATAAATATTTCTAATATTTTTTTATTTATTACACTAACAATATACATACGATAATAAAGGATAACGATGTCTTATTCCTAAACAAATCTATCCCACGGGAACCGTACATTTTTTTGGGATAAAAAACCTAAGTGCTATTCCAGACTATAATCTATCTCTGTACTAAATTTCATTTGGATCCGTTCAGCCGTTCTGGCGTGATTGAGTACCAAACATCCGAACATATAAGCTTTCACATTTATAATATTAGTTAGATATGTATATCAATAAAAAGTGTACATAATGTTCCCAAAAAAATATATATAAACTTAAAAAAAAAAACAAAAAAGACAGGTAGATAATACATATTTTTTACGTATAAAACGGAATAAATCATTTACATAAAAATTTACATTAAACGTATTGACAGACAACGCACCGCCTAAATTAGTGGGTCTAAAAGCTTCAAGAATACTAAGGAAAGATTTAAAAATTAATCGACTAAAAAGGGTTAGATAGGGTATGAAAGTTTGTTTGAAAATTCCTCATTTCTGAAGGTCAAAACATAAAATCCATGAATAAGCTTTTATTTATACTAACGATGAGTAAGATCAACGGACGTAATCCATACTAATACCTATTATAAATGCGAAAGTAACTCTGTCTGTCAATCAGCTTTTCACGCTTAATCCGCTGAACTGATTTGGATGAAATTTGGTATTAAAATAGTTTGAAAGTCTGCAAAGGACATAAGATAATTTTTATTCCGGAAATCATTCCTTAAGGGGGTTTAATGGGGGGTAGAAATTTGTATGAGGAATCGATTATTTCACAAGTAAGATATATCTATAGAAGACATATCTATATATATAGCCTATCTATTCTATACGAAGCGTCAAAATATACTTAGGAAAGAACCCAATCGAAGCAAGGTTGAGTCGCTAGTACATATCATATATGAATACGAAGGTGATTCCTGAAATTTGTTGTTTCACGCAGCATCATCAGAATAACAGGTTTACCTAATGTTAAGCTAAGTACCTTCTATGTTATCTCATCATAAACTACAAATATAAAGATACTATATATATATATATATATATATATATATATATATATAGTAGATAATATATGTAATTAAATAGTGTAAAATAATGGAAAAAAACCACAACAATATTAAAACAAAACTTAGCGCGCGGTCAATTGGCAAGTTCACAGCTCATGTTCGATAGCAATAAAACATATTGGGGCCATTACGGCCATTACTGCGGAATTATCGACGCGACGCGCTCTGGATATATTGAAAATGTCGGAAAATGCCGTATTCTACTTAGTATTTAATACAGCATCAACGGTAATAAGGGTTTATATGAAAAGAGCCTTAAATGGCCTACCGGTACAATATTTAACGTAGTGTTAAATTATATGTAACTTTATTAAATAGCAGAAAGAACATCTATACATATAATAAAATTCTAAATCGAACTAAGTCGAATCTGTACATTAAATATTTTTTGGAAAATCTAATTGAAATAGACATTATTATCGATACAAAGTCCGAATCTATAGTTTTTAGAATTTTTGTCTGTCTGTATGTCTGTTACCGCATCACGAGAAAACCACTGGACAGATTATGATGAAATTTGGTATAATGATAGCTGGTTATCCGGGTCAACATATAGGATACTTTTTACCGCGGGAAAATATCTCATTTCTGAGAAAAAATACAAAAATAAAAAAACTGCATTGTGAGAGTATACTAATATGTAAAACATAAGAATTTGGTTTTTGGTCATCTGAACGCGGGCGGAGCCGCGGACAGTGCCAGTATATTATAAAAAGAAAAATTGTTTCTGGATAAATATTTAGATTTCGTTAAAATTAAATAGTTTCATTAAAACTGAAACTGTAAATCCATACTAATATTATAAATGTAAAAGTGTGTTTGTTTGCACTTCTTTCACGTCGAAACGGAGTGACGTGACGGATTGGGGTGATTTTTTGTGTGAAGATAGTTGGAGGGACATAGGTACCGACTACAAAAATATCTGAATAAATGAAAACTCCCGTTTAGTTATTTTTTTTATATTTTATGGCCTGGAAGTCGTTTCTTTTTTTGAATTTTTATTTAAGCTTACATTTCATAAGTTATACCTAAGTGGGTGAAATAAAATTAATATAACATAAAACTTTATGTGCATAAAATTTCTTTTTTTCGGCTAAATGAATTGATAAGTGATGTTTTAAGCAAAATAATAAAAAAAATTACCAGCTTAGTTATAGCCACAGCCGCATAATAAACTAAAACAATACTGAAAAATCCTTATAGATAAAATAAAATAAGGATAAAATATTTGAACTAGTACCTTAGAACAAATAAACATTGGATAATTAAAGAGGGCTGGAAAAGGGTCGACGCGGCCTCCGCTGAGGAATCCCATGCTTCCAAAGAACGTATGATCAAACGTGTAATTGTTATTTTATTTACGGAGCCTTCGCTAGCTTTTACTTTGAAGCTTTAAGTATTTCTTTACAGACGTATAAATAAATAACATTGTATCTGTGGAGGTGCAGTGGACCATTTGTGCAATTTATACCGCTTGACTATGCATTTTGTGAAAATGTCTGGCCAAAGTGTGCGTCATGGTGTAGGTTCTCACCAAAATATTTAAATGAGATACCTTGTATGACATCTAGGAAGTCATCGTGTGTTCTTGCTTAATTTGAATGAGTAAAGTTGTATAGAACTATAATTATATATTTCCTAATATGTATTTTAAATTTCAAAATGTGTTTACATTTTTTGACGTTAACGACGCTTTTTTTGTGTCTCCGTATACACTTAATGGAGCGATTTGATTTTTTGCATCGTTGGTTACCGTCCAGCTAGTTTTCATCTCAATTGCTTCTGAAATATTAACATTTAGTCTATACCCAGTTCGGGAATTGAACTGGGGAAAAAGTTTGTTGGTGACAACTGTTTGTTAGGGATGGTCTGAACAATATATTCTATAAGATTATACAATGTTTTTATGTTATACATTTTTTTCTATGGTTAATAATAATCGATGGAAACTGTGTGAAGATATACTTACTACGTTTATATTTGTTCCTCCTTCACGGTAAGAGGCTGAACAGATTTGAATAAGTACATAGTATGACTCGGACTAACGCACATGATTTGATTACATTTCGGTTCGGCGCATTCCTTGGTGTCTTAAGACAGCCTAAGTTTTACTCTAGATTTACCTATGTTAGGGTGGAGCAAAAAAATTTTTTTTCTTAGCTTGAGGATAGCTTAGTAAAAAAAAAATTGAAAAAAAAATGTTTTACTTAACATTTTGAGGAGGTCCGGCACACAGATTTCACATTTTACGAACCAATTTAAAATAAATTATAATTAATTTTATAAATTATAGTTATTTTAAATTTTTGGTTCGAATGAATTTTTTTTCGCGTGATCGTCTTTGATAAAATAGAGTGATACAAAAAAATTACATGTTATTTTTTCAACTTTTTTTAAAATTGTAATGATGCAATATTACAGTGTAAGTTAGGTAGAAAATGACTATATTCATCAATTCTTGAATGTTTTCGAAAAAAAAAAAGTTCCATTCAAATACTATGTACTGAAAAACTTCATCCAAATAGTCCATTTGTTTCTGTGTAGGAGTAACAAACAAACTTTCATGTTCAATTATATTCTCTTGTTAATGGCTTTAAAGCGTGACAGTTGAGCGCAGATTACTTCGCCAATGTCACGTAGAATGGAAAAGATACGTAGGACACGTCGGTAAAATTTCACATCTATAATCCTAATTGCCATAATCGAATCTGTAGCCTACACTATTATAAATTACTAGCGACTCACCCTCGCTCCGCTCGGGTTCGTCCCTACTTACGTTTTAACGTTTGGTATAGATTTCTCAGAAATGAGATATTTTCCCGCAGTAAAAAGTCTCATATGTTGACCCGGATAACCAGCTATCTTCATACCAAATTTTATCAAAATCCCTCCAGTGGTTTTTCCGTAATGCGGTAACATACAGACAGACAGACAAAAATTCTAAAAACTAGAGATTCGGCCTCTGTATCGATAATAATGTCTATTTGAATAAGATATTCCAAAAAAATATTTAATATACAGATTCGGCTTCGTTACAATTTTATTATATGTATAGATGACATTTACTCGTAGATACAATTATATTATTAAACGAATACCTACGACATTATCTTAAAATGTATAAAGTATATCAAGTTGCGAGTTACATTAAAGTAGTATAGTGAGTCTTTCAAGTTTGTGTTCAGAACATTTATAATAATTTTTACTCCACTGCAGTATTTTAGTGTTATTTTACAGCGTGAATAAAAAATAAATTCTGGTATTCAATTTAAAGAACTTTAGAGGAAACTAATTTAAGAGAACTTCTGAGAGCTAGTCACTAGTTCTAAAAGCTTGCATATTTAATTTATTTACGGACTTTCTTTTGGAATTTTTGTAAGGAGAAATAGTGGGCTAATTATGTTTTATGCCATCATTTATTCATAGTGACAAGTTTCAGTTATTTTTGTTCAACTTCAAAGTACTCGATTCGCTTATATCTTACGTGATGTCTTCAGGAACCTTATATTATAAATCGATTCTTGATGAATAGGTTATGGTAACATTAAATGTAGTACATATATATTCATTAAAAAAAATATGACAATCGGTTCGCAATTAACAAAAACATACAAAAAATTGCTAAAATATACCTGGCACCTACCCCGAAACTACTTCCTCTGAGCATCATGCTCAAGTTTTAGCACGACATTTCGTCCGCCTCCAGGCCAATAGGAACTACACATTAAAAAACAAAATAGCTAAAATATATAGGTACTTACTGGGGTCTTTAACGGCAGTGATGACAAGTTTGAAGCCGTTGGCGTCAGTGCCCCAGTTGTCGGTCACGTATTTGAGTGTGACGAAGTTGCTGCGCGTGAACAGAGCGCCCACCTGCTGCTTGGTGTTGCGGCAGGACAGGTCCGCCTGTGTGGAGGTGAAAACACAAATCAATATTATTTTATTATGAGAATGCTTATCATGATACACTATTTAAAACGTTATAATATTCCTGAGATCACGAGATTATGGAATTACCCCATGGGCTCAAGATTCAATAAATAGTTTTAATTTTGTACAGATTTAGATACACAAAAAATTATTGTAGCTACACATTTCATAGAAATATACATGCAACTACAACACAACAGAATATTTATTAGAATACTAAAACTTTACTATTGTATCTGTGTTTCTTTCACAAAGTACTGCACAGACAGCACTATTATCTAGGAGGTAATCCTGCAATATGCATTATTCCAATGAATCAAGTATGTAAGTGAAAACTTTGTATTCTTTTGTGGAGTACCAACAAAGTACGCGTCGCTATTGTGTAAAAGAATCTTTGCATTCAGAATACGAGAGCGCATCGCAACTCTGAAGAACAGGTTTAGTGCACGAGACCGCCATGTGCCAGCAATATTTCCTTCATCGAGCCCGGGCTTAGTGAACGATGGCCGCATTATATCGCTGTCATATTTCAGGGAGAGCGATCGCAGCGACGTGACGGCTCGGGATTTAGTCCCTCCTCGTCACCCCGCTCGCCCCCCGCCCTCCTCGCGCCCCACGTCAAAGGCGTTACTTGCGTTGGACTTTTGCACTTTTTTTACTCTTCTATACCGAGAAGTTTAATAAAGATCGGACTCGAGTTGATATTAAAATTCCTCTATAAAATTCTCAACTAAAAATTGCCAAGTTACGGAATGCGGATTTTAATCGTCGAAGTATTTTTATTTACACCTCGTCCAATATTTTACAAGATTGCATCTTTCTTATTACTTTTTATATTTTATAAAATTTAAAAAAAAATCGAAGAAAAAATCTAACCTAAATAAAAAAGACCAGCCCTTAACACTTTTATAACGACTTTTTATTGACATACATTCATATATAGATTGCTAACTTAAAAGCAGTATAGTTTAATCAGCAGAACGTCAAAAATTACTACCAAATCAGTTGTGTCTCGTCTAATAACGCATGCAAGAACTTGAGAGTAACAAAGTGCTCAAAAATCCGGGGCAGGGCTCGTAGGCGAGATGAAGTGCGCTACAATTTAAGCGTGGATTAGCTGGACTGCACCCATTTGAAATTCAGCGCGAGTCGCTCGCTGCAGATGCCTCTACATCACGGAACTTGTTATAGACTTCTAGACACGCGCCGCACTAGCTCTGAGCATTGACCCTATGAATAAGTACTCTACAGTTCGAACTTGTCGGGAACTTCAAGGAGTCTTCACTATCGTTTCAGTAATGAAAGTTGTCGCTTAAAGTTGCTCACATTGTTTAAAGGTATCGTCGCACAAATTCGAGCACGCATAGTTGAGGATAGGGGTGCAGGTGGAGCAACTTTACCCTTTGTGTCGGTAATGAATCCGTAACATTGTTTTCCCCGAGTTGGAACACACGCTGCGGTGTGCTCTATTCTATTTAAGTTTCTAGCCATATTTGTACTCGGTATTGTTTCTTTTAACGCTTCGTCGATTGTTAGATTAAGCTCTTTGTTGTCAGAGTCCGTTACGTGGTCGAAAGGACCTTGCTTCATTTTTTATGGACCGAGGATTTTAATTATGTCTACACAAGCTTCGTTATTACAAGTACTGAGCAAATTCGCAAATATTATGCTCTGTGGAAAATTTTGTGCACGCTTTTCTCAACCTTATTTCTAGCTGTCATTTATAAAAATGTCGTTTTACACTTTTTGAGTAAGCTGTTTTGTGGTAATTTGTTTACAAAAGATGTTTATACTATCTTAACTTTTATGGATGTACTAGCACTGCTCGCGGCTCTGCCCACGTTCAATTGACCAAAAACCAAATTCTTAGGTTTTACATATTGGTATACTATTACTTTGCAATTTTTGAATTTTCTCTCAGAAATCAGGTATTTTCCCGCGGTAAAAAGTATTCTATATGTTGACCCGTATAACCAGCTACAATAATACCAAATTTCATCAAAATCCCTCCAGTAGCTTTTCTGTGATGCGGTAACAGACAGACAGATAGACAAAAACTCTAAAAACTATAGATTCGGCCTCTGTATCGATTATTTCAATAAGATTTTTCAAAAAATATCAAATGTACAAATTAGCCTTAGTTACAATTTAATTATATGTATAGATTATTCAGTGCGGGTAGGGAACAAAACAAAGAGTTAATTAGCATAAGAAAAATATATAACGAGCGAGCTAATATTAAACCTTAACAAAGAAAAATGCTAAAAACTGTACAAAAGCATAACTTTTTGTAATTTACTGACGTTTACTTTCAACGTAATCGTTTAACAATTAGATGTTATTCGACTCCCAACTGCTCTCATATTGAATTCAAAGAGTTTTACGTTCTTAAAGTTTAGAAGTTTCGCGAAATAAGTGGCTTTAAAGGACAATCTCGGGACTATTAAGTATTCGCTAAAGTTCTGAAACCGTTTCCCGGCTTTACCGATGTGCTTGATAAAACGTCAGCGTCTCATCCAATTTAAAGTAACAATTACAGATTTCCATTTACGCGAACACCGCAAGTAGCCGCAGCGCAGATCGTTCCAAACGAAACTTTTCAAAGAATCAGGTCCAACTTGGTAACATTTTCCTCGCCAAATTAACGTTGATATTACAATTGTAAGGAGATACGATGAGACCGAAACTTGTCATATTTTATTACATGTACTCCCGAGTTAAATATTCAGCTATTCTTAAGTTTCTTTTATTATTTAATTTTGGTATAGTTGTAAGAGCTGGAATTTGGTCTTAACGAAATATTTTATTAAGAGCATGAACAAGTAAATGTAAAATACTCGTACTAAGTATAATAAGTTATTTGTGCACTAACTAAATATGGACTAAGTGCCTTAGTATCCTATATAACATTTTATGGTTATAAATTATTAATGGCAACACTAAATATAGATTACTAATTAATATTTTTAAAATTTTTAAAATGGTTATAATTATAATGAAAACAGCAAAAATTAAATAAATAATATTCCATATTCAATTATAAAAGTAATTAAAATGTTTAAAGTTATAAAATATTGTAAGGTACTTGGTGGAATTTTTCATTTTGTTAATTGTGGGTAGGCTGTCTGTAACAACTATATCTTTAAGACATGTAACACCTCAGTCTCTCCCGTGACCATGATTGCTGTAAAGCATTCGAAACGTCGGGAACCAAAAATCAAAATAAATCCGCGAAATAATCCGAAAAGGTAGTTTTATTTAAAATGACAAAAAGAAAAGTAAGTAAGTACTAGATTTTATAATAAAAATTTTTTAAGAGCAAATAATAATAATCATATAAAAATAATTATAAAATTGATTATCACATAACTGTAATAACCGTAAATGCTACGACATAAGTAGTTTATATAGAAGATAGATAATGAAAGAGCCTTCGTCAAATCAAACACGTTCCCGATTCTCCTAACCGAGGAATCCTTCAAATTATGAAATAATGATGAAAAATGTTCCATTAAACGAAGCCTGCAATTTATTTTTGCGCAGCGACACCGCTCCCGCTTTAGCAGAACATAAAGTATTCATACTTTAAACTTTAAAACGGTGACTCGCTGACAGCCGGATGAATAGAAAATTAAAGTGTAGAATTTGGCGCAAACCGCGGCTCCCTCGCTTCCAACAGGGATTGTGGGTCGTCGCGTTTTAGACCTAATTGTGTGTACTTAGGATAAGGAAAAATAAACAGCGTGAGACGTAAAAGAAAACTACTTAGAATTCCATCGACATTTTCGCAATGGCCGTTGTATTTGTACAATGCTCTTTGTTGAAAATTCTCGCGCTAAAGTTTAGGAATTTGAATTTAAAATTTGCAGAGTTGTGTCTTTGGCGGTGTGTTAATTGTTAAGTAGGTGCGGACGATGGGACAGCTGACGGCCGCGCTGCAGGCGGCGCCTCATTACCATACTCCAGGTGAATATCTCTTACATCAGTTTGTGGTTTATTTAAAGTTGTTTCTTGCACATTTCCATTGAGCTCACAGGACGTGTTGACTCTATTTTATTTAAACAGCTCTTAGATCTATTTCATTTAAACACCTAGATAGAATATTTAGTTAGTTGTGTAAAATTAACAAATTATTCTTAAAATATACGGTATTTTAAATTTAACATAATTGTGCTTACATTAACGATATCAAAATTGATTCTTATTCATTAAATTATCAAATTTTAAAGTTAAAATTATGTTATTGATTCAATGATACATACATAAAAAATCATAAAGTTAACCAATAATTACGTAACCGTTAGAAAAATGGCAAACGTAACTTAATTTGAAAACTGAAGTACCTATCAGCAAGTAGATAGTGAAAATATCGATAACTAAATTGACTTGGCATTTATCAGGTCTCATTAGCAAGGCGTCTCCGGCATCTTTAATAAATTAGCGATAAACCGACGCTTTGATAGCAAAAGGGAAGGGGACGAATGGGTATAATCGAAGCCTGCCGTAATTGCTCGCAACGTCTTGGAATTCCTCCAAATTGGAAATGATATCGATAAAATTCTCGTTATGTGATATATTGAAAGGTAAAGTAATATGAAGGTATTTTAATACCGTTCTGAATCCTTTGTTCGGGGTGAAATTCAAATTATTATTCGCTTATTCGCTTTGTCTGTCCGTGAAAACAGTGAGATACTCGTAGTTTGATATGCGTCCCGATAGTGCATTTTCTATTTGAGAACATTGGAATAATCTAGAAAATTCCATTTCAACGGACTTGATTTTTAACTTCAAATTTGTAACATTGTGCGGGTGAAATTATAGATTTGCTATATGAGTTTAGCTGCAAGCTACTGCTTTCGTTAGGTATCCATAGTCTATGGGTCTTAGTTTCATATTTTCATCTTATATATTTCCCCAAAACTTCACAACTATATTTGCAAAAGATGAATTTAAGCCAAGTTATCATCTCCAAACTACTGAACTCACTAAAATATTTTTAGTACACTGCAGCTAATCTGACTTGGAAACGTAGACCAAACTTAAGAAATCTTATAATTTTGTCACGATTGTCTTGTGAATGTGGCTATACATAATAGAAATACTATAAAATTGAAACTATTTAAGCCTTATGTATATTTCATTTTATTTTTAATGTAACAATTCACAAAAGCAAAACCATAGCATGAATTTAATGTTACGAGTATATGTTACGGAATTCTCTTTGTCCGCATCACATTCGTACTTATCCAATTTTTATTTGGTTTTTTAACACCTCCAGGTAAATTTCTAATTTAATTAATTTTATTATATTACTAAGAAATCTATAGTTAACTGTAACGCCGGCGTGTCCGCGGTCGTGGAGGGATTAATGCACTAATCACTAGTCAAAGATACTATGCAAATGGAGCCGTGGAGAGTTGCCAGATAATAAAATATACCTTTGGTGGAGCAGTGGCGTGAGCGCCATCGTACACATAGAGGTGGTCGTTACAGTCCAATTGCAGCAAATCGAAGTGCAGCATGAAACGCTGTAAGATGCTGTGCGTCTGGAACGTAACGGTGCAGTCCAAGTTGCGCTCGTTGCGCGACCACAGCACGCCGCCATCTAGCTTCCGGTACTGTCGTTGAAGGAAGTGGTCCTTGCATAGTGAGTCCATATAATCTGAGAACAAAGAATAATATTGATGAATAAGATGAATTAGAGTTTTTCTTGTCTGTCCGGATGTCACAGTCAGTTTGTTCAGAAACTATCGGAGCAAAATTGCTGTAAACTGGTAGATACGTCTGAACTGGTAGACGACTTTTTTGTCAAATGACAGAAAATGAAAAAATAAGGGTGGCACTTACACTTACAACATATATGTAACTGAGGGGTGAAAATAAATCGATTCCACAAAAGCGTGTGGGTTACTTCAGGTTTTTTTACACCTTTGTAATTATAACACTTTTTGCACGAAATACATATCTTCTAAACCATTCAAATCTGCTACTTCCAACATAATTAGCTAAGGTTGATGATGTGATTAGTTAATTTTAATTATAAACATTTCTATAATTTTAATAAGTTTTATAATGGAATATTAACAAATATTGTAAGGTAGGTACTTTGGTGCCATTTTTAAATTTTTGAATTTATTTTATTATTTTGTGGGTAGGCTGTCTGTAACAACTATATAATGCCTATGAGACATCTTAAATCTTAATCTCTCCCGTGGCCATGATTGCCGTAAAGTATTCAAAACGTCGGGAACCAAAAATCAAAATGAATCCACGAAAAAATGCGAAAAGATAGTTTTATTTAAACTGCATTAGGTATTTTACTTATTTTAGTCGAAACGATGACGTGCGATCGCTTGTTAGTTAAGCATAATATGACCCATCAAAAATGGAAGGTCATAGGTATATCTAATGGTAATTGAATAATATTTTCAGAATCTAATTTTAGAACACATTACATTACTTAGTTAACCTTTTGCCGATCCAAAGGTTATATGTCAGTAAGTTTAAAACTGGCAACGGTTCAAATATACGTGGGAATAACAAGCAAGCGCATTAAGCAGTCTTTTGTTAAATGAAAATTACACTTGAAGTTGACTATAATAGTTGTGCAGTCAGATTTCTCTTTGTACAAAGTTGGCTGCTTATTAAGAAAAATTCAAAGAAATGTTAAAATAAAAGAAAACGATGGTATTAATTAAAACTTTTTTAAATTAAACTTCATACTTCGTTAAAACATCAATACGACTGTGAATGAATATTGTATACAAATATAAAACTAAGTATTATTAAAAATAAAAAGTATCGTTTATTGAATATAGTTTACTTTACAGGGGATAGATAAGAGGAAGTTATCTCTTATCGCTATCTTTCTACATCGCTTAATCTCTGCTCGTCAGATCTTCGCAAACGATTGTGTGGACTACATCTGTTATCTGCAGACCAATTGTGCCTATGCGCAGCCAGCCATGTAAGTTGTAATTTATATAGTGAGATATACTCGTATATAGTTATAAATAGAAAAAAACTATAGTGATTGCTTGAAGTGTAACTTTTTAAAAATTTATAATATTTAATAGTTATTTAATATTGTTATTTTAATGTTAACTTAATTAGTATTTTTTGTTTTTAAATTACTAAATGAATGCATGCTTTATCCACCTTAAAAGCTAATGCATTTAGAATTAACTTACATTGTTTTTTTTTAATTTTTAAAATACCTCCAAGTAAATTTCTAAAAAATTAATTAAATTTTTAAGAAATCTATTATTGACTGCAACGCCGGCGTGTCCGCGGCCGTAGAGGGATTCTTCCCTTTCTTTCTTAGAAATTTACCTGGAGGTGTTAAATATACTTAATCTATGTAAATTAAATTTACTATGTATACACTTATTTTGAATTTAATCTTTGGAAGGTCTGAGATAAGTCGTCATAAATTATAATTTGAATGATTGCTTTTGTTTTTTTTCTTTTTCTTGTTACGCATATTACCTTGGAAAATACGGTGGAAGTATAAAAACTTGAAAACGTTTGAAAAACAATTTTTTTAATCTTTTTTGTCTCTCTCATATAAATAAATAAATGTTGAGACACCAACACACAGCACCATCTAGTTCCATGGTAAGCTACGAGGCTTGTGTAGATAAAACAATACTTGTGAAATATATATAATACAGTGAAACCACAATAAAAGTATACTTTACACTTCGCACATTCCTTAGTGATACCAAAATAAAACCTATCTACGTGACATTATACATGACATTTACAGTTTTTAACTAATGTAATTTCCAGGAGCGGCTGTAGCATGTTGGTAACACTGTCAATCTTAGTACTTATCAGTACCGTATCCTTAGCACCAACTCCGTCTAGTCTCAGAAGTCTAGATTCTATGGTTACGGGAGAAACCAGAGGTCTAGAAGTACCCACGGATTTCCTAGCAGGATCCACTTCCGGTATGGGAGCCCTGCAAATCGTTGTCAACATACGAACAGACAATCAAGGAAACATTGAGGTTATTACTAATTAATTATAAAATAATCTTCATAATCCACAATTTGTATCATGAAATTCAGTTGAAAACATCAAATTACGTATATATTACGTATAGATATTAGATATACATAATTACACATACTGTGACGCTATGTTTATTTAATGCCACTTAGTGTTTATTTGAATCACATATCACTGATATGTGAAATGTGATATTTGATAACATACTTGTACTATGCGAAAAATTCTTTCTTAATAAAATTCTCGGGTTCGTCGCTTATTTCGTTTTTACGTTTAGCATGAATTTCTCAGAGATGGTATATTTTCCAGCAGTAAAAAGTATCCTATATATTGACCCGGATAACCAGCTATCATCATACTAAATTTCATTAAAATCTGTCTAGTGGTTTTTACGTGATGCGTTCACAGACAGACAGACAGATATTTCTAAAAACTATAGATTCGGTGTCTGTATCTATAATTCGACTATTTCAATATGATTTTCGAAAAAATATTTAATGTACAAATTCGACTCAGAAATAAACAATTAGTATCTTAGATCTTTAACAAAAGCAATTAATTTTGTTTAACACGAAAAATACGTATATAGATAGATTAGATATTTATAATCAATTCAATTGTAATATAATCAAAAAACTTCCTAATAAGATATCGATTTTAAATGTAAATATTATTAGATATTTATAAAATAATCTGTTAATTATAGATATAAGATATACATATATTTTTAATTCAGAGTTAAAGAAATAAAAATATTTAGCGACTGAAAGAAATTTCGTATCGATCCATTCAATGTTACGCTTAATTAGATTGAAATTAAATTAATTAAAGGATAATAAGGTATAGTATATCCTTAAAATCATTACTAATATTATAAATGTGAAAGTGTGTTTGTTTGTCTGTCCTTCTTTCACGTCGAAACGTAGTGATGGATCGGTGTGATATATTGTGTGGAGATAGTTGCAGGGCTGGAGAGTGACATAGATTTTTTACCGCGGGAGATTATATCGATCCCACGGGAAAACAGGTTATAATACAACCCTCAGCTACTTCATTATACCTACATATGTATATAACTAATATGTCTATTCCATACTAACCGTTAAAACTTACCTAGGGACGACCCGAGCGAAACGAGGATGAATCGCTAGTATTACATACATATGAAGAGTTTGTATATTAGGATTTAAACTTTAATTAATCACGACTAATAAAAATATTCTAATTCACAGCTAATTTCTTTAACAACAGCCAGTATCATTATTTATCTCTACGAGTAAATCTAAATATTATTAAAAAAAGAACTTTTCAACTATCTAGTAATACACCAATATACTAAATCTATAAAAATGCATTTAAAAAATTGTTTCAAAATTAATTTTGTTTACAAAAACACAAAATAAACTAAGTTTACAGACGAAGTATCACTATAAAACTAGTGTGTAAACTAATAAACGTCAAGAAAGTCACGTCTCATGATATCGGCTTATCAATATGAGAAGCATTCATAGTATTTATTGCCTCACACATTCCCACGTGTAATTCTCGTACCAATTCACTTTTCATCCTGTATATTAAACGCCGGTAGAACCATTCTTAGGCGTGCAAGGCTAGACGCCATTGTCCAATATATGGCGAGGGGGAGTGGTATTTCATGTTAGGTTTTTTATATGACTTTTTATTGTTTAGAAGGCAGGATGGAACGTTTTTCTTTTAATTATTATTTTAATAAGTAATTGTTTTTCAAACTAGTTGTTGTTTATAACCAAAAATATTATATTATACGTATATTAAAAGTATTATAAATACGTATGACACTCTACAGCCTACTAAAGTCTATGCAAAATGTCGACGATATTTTGTTTCGCTACAGAATAAAAGGAAAGACAAACAAACAAACACATTCTTTGCATTTATATTATTAATTAGCAATAGTAATTACATATAAATCCTATTTTTTTAACCTATGTAGTTAATTTTCCCACTCTCTTGTCAAGCGATTGCTTATACCAGTACTCATTCTGACAACTCGCACTATCGCAGATAGCCTCGGTTTGGTATTGATTTTGATTGCATTTAAGCCACACTGCTTTGGGGTTATTTTATGGTGTTATATGTACGATTGAATCATTTGTATAACTAATGTTCGCTCTTATAATCTTTATTGATTATAATCTATACATATAATAAAATTCCGACTGACTCGAATCTGTACATTAAATATTTTTTCAAAAATCTTATTGAAATAGTCAATTTTATCATCAATCTTTCTTAGATTTACTCGAATATTTGACATTTTAAATAAAACTATCTGTTCTAATTTCACACAGTCTCTCCCGTGACCATGATTGCTGTAAAGCAGTAAAGCATACGAAATGTCAGGAACCAAAATACAAAATAATAAAAGATAGTTTTATTTAAAATATTCATAGTTTTTATACGTTACGCGATATCTTCAGCAAAAGCGTTGCGATTAATATTATATTTTTAATGATAATTAGATTCTACTTCCAGGGTTTCATATAAATTGCAACAAAAAATCCACCTCCATTCCGCCCTAGAGGGCGGGATTTTGTCAATGTACCTTTACGCTAACACAAATTTTGAATAATCATTCTAAAGCCAATAACGTATTCGTACATATTTGATAGAAATCGATGAAATAAATTTTGTTGTGGAGTTTATGAATAAAGTAATAAAAAGTTATATGGACTTTATATTAAATTTATTAAAATAACATATTTTGAAAGTTTTGACTAAATTAAGTACTAAGTTTCCTTTCATTCTTATATAATTAATTACTGTAATTTTAAATCTATTTTTCAATAAAAATCGTAGAAAAAAAAATGTACAACCATTTTGTAGCATTAAGTGTAGATATTAATTATATATTATTCTAAGAACAAATTTTTAACCATTAAATATGTTATAACTGAAATATAACATGACTAAATGTAAAAGTGACACAGTTAAACTATTTTTATTACGCAGAAGTAATTTTTAAATTGTTCATTCTATCTTAAATCTGATGATTAAAAAATCAATCGTAAGCCATATCCATTGTTTATACTCATGTGTTATATATATTAGTTATATTTTTCTATGAGTAAAAAAATAGCTTTTTGGTTATCTACTGTTGTTCATATTTACTGATGGATTTTATTGAGAGACAATCCTATGTTAGATGTATAATTTATTTAATAAATTAAAACATGTGATGAGGTAAAAATACTTGATTAGATTTACGCGAATATTTGTAATTTAAAAAGAAATATCTTTTAGGATCTTTTGGCGGATTTATTTCGATTTGACTCGATTGACGATTCAGTCTGTATGAATGTTCGTTACTATAATTACTGTAAATCATTCGAAACGTCGGGAACCAAAAATCTAAATAAATCCGCGTAAAAAAAACCCAAAAAGATATGTAGTTTTATTTACATAATATTTAGTTGAAATAGTCATGTTGTTCTTTCTGACACTATCGCTCTCTCTTTTCATCCTCTCTGGGTATATCCCTATATTACATCCCTATAATTACTAGTATACAGTAATTACAGTGGAGGTCAAATGACATATAATGTAATATTGTACTTTTGTAATTTTTAATATATACATATATTGATTTTCTATAATATTTTGTTTCATTTACGCCATTTCACATATACCTCAAGTTATATTTTATAGAGTATTCTTAAATTACAGATTCCAAATAATTCCAAATAAAAGATTAACTAATAATTGCAATAATTTTTGGGAAGCTGCAGAGCTTTTGGAATACATATTTTGTGCCTGCTAAAAATCGAACCTACTGCATATCATATTATCATTTTGCTATGTAGTCATTATTAGTTGCTAAAAAATTATATATATATATATAAAAAAATGTATTTTAAGTAAGTTTTCATGTGACGGTGCACTCGCTAATCTCACGTTGATCTCTCTGTAATAACTCGCGTGGAGTGCGGGCTTGCGGACTGCAGACAGTAATCCCGGGCGCTGGATCTCATAGCAGCTTTTTCATTATACATGTATGTATGTATATTTTGTATTTAATGCCAAAACTAAAAAAGTTTACTTATATATTTTTCGTTACTTCAACTCATAAAGGATAATTTTAATAATTGCTATTTTTTTTAAATGTATACGTCAGTTATAATTTTTTATTATCTGTGTAGAGTTAAATTTTTTTGCATTATGATTTTTGTTATTGTTAGTCTGTTTCCAGTTTTTTTAAAGAATAATTTACACAAAGATATAATTTAAATAAAAATATATATAATTATTATTTATTTAAAAATTATATTTATATAAATTCTGCTAAATGTTAATTTCAGTATTCAATTGCAACTTTATTTCTAGCAAGAAATCTAATACCTATATAAGTACTTATATTTTATATTTAGTTGTTAAAGTTGTAAGTAATGCTTATTAAACGTACATACAATCACTAAACAATTTCTAAAAGTAATAAAAAACGATATTTTTAACTAAAATATTTTTCCTGTAGTTGCAAATTACAAATTGTTAGTATGTGTGGCATTCAATATCAAGAGCGACAGCACTCTGCTATTGCTGAATATATTATGTACTTAGTATGTACTATGACGTGTGTGCCATCACAGATTACATATAATAATATTTAGGTAATCAAATTGAGATGATAGAAATCTTAATCTGTTATGATCTCATACGATGCAGGTACTGAGCTCACTCAATCTGCAATGCCAGGTGCAATACCTGTATTGGTTGCAGATCATCAGATCCTAAGTTCGAATCCCGAGTCGACCTAAAATAATTTATTAAGACTAGGAGACTGAGGCCCATTTTATGTGTATGTATCCTATGAATACCAATAATCTGAAGTAAGCTAAAATTGCTTAAAATCTGTAAATAATGTATATAATTCCAAATTCTCCATAGAATAAATACTAAAGACGAAATTTTAAGAAACGGCTAATCATGGCGGC